AGACAAACCAAGAGGTATCAGTAAAAATCACAGCAAAAAGCCTCGAAAATACAATTATACAAAGAGTAGTAGAAAACTCTGATAATTAATCCTGGTCCTCTTCAAGATGGTAGATTTGCAATTTTAACTTTAGAACAACTTAATAGAGAAAAATTATTGTCGGGTGAAATTAAAAGTTTTTATGAATGTTCTAACAGAAATAATTCGTGGTGCATGGTTGGATTAGAATTTTTTATTTTATAACGATAATAATTATATAACGATAATTACTATCTAAAATTGTATACGTATAATCGATATCGATAAAAATTGGCGTGTGAATTTTGTAATTACCAAATTTGGAGTTTAAAATTTTTAATTAAAAAATTTTTTTAGTTACATTTTTTATCTGTTAACGTTTAAGTTCACGATGGATCTATTTCATATTCTTGGCAACGGAGCCAATTTCGATAAAAAAAGATTTAATGTCGATATTTCACTTTTTGAGGTTAGCAAACTCGAAAATTTGCTACTTATAAAAAATCCGTTATTCATTAAATGTTCATATATCTTCTCGCGTCAATAGCCGCAAAATCAGAAAAAACCTGTCAAGAAGGTTGTTAATGACAAAGAGGCACAAGCAAATCTTCTTCAAGAAATCGATTTTTTTCATAATAGTAAAGCTGCCATTATTGAAACCTTTGGCAATGAGGAAGTGTCTAACGAAATATTAGCTGGAAATAGTGATGGTTATTTTTGTAAAAAAAATTTACTTCTAATTTGTAAATAATTTCGCATTAAATAGGAATACTAATAATTTAATAATATGGATTCAATTTAAAATATAGAAGATGCCAGTGATAATGATGAGAATGATGAAACTATTGAACAAAATGGGTTAAATACAATTTCTAATATAGAAGAGGCTAATGATAGCGATGACAATGATGAAACTATTAATCAATTAAATACTCAAGATAATGTATGAATATCAAATTCCCTTCATTATACGTTAAGTACTATCCACTTCATGCTATTTGTTTAATATAACATTCAGATCAAATTGTTCCGTAAACGACATCGCATTCGCGTATATGGCTCCGATATTCCAAACCCTTTTCGTTCTTTCAGTGATCTTCAAAATCTATATGGTTTTAAATCTTATTTATACAAGAATTTGGTCTCTGCTGGATATAAGAAACCTACTCCAATTCAAATGCAAGCTGTGCCAATTATTTTATACGTGAGTTTTTTTTGTCATTTCAAATTTTAATAAAATTATTAATATAAATATAAATTATTTATTATTTTTTTTTCAAAAAGGGACGTGATGTTATGGCGATGGCACCTACAGGATCTGGTAAAACTTTAGCCTATATACTGCCAATATTGCATGATTTACATAGTCACAAGAAATTAGGTTATCGTGCATTAATAATATCACCGACCAGAGAATTGGCAAAACAAGTATGTTATTATTGAAGATTGGGCCCGGGTAAAAATTGTTGCTGTATGGTTACCCAAGATATAACAAATCAGCCGGATAACCCGGGTAATTTAATAATACCTGGTTAGGGTCCAATCTCTAGTTATTATTATTGGATTAATACAACTTTTGTAATATAATCCTATTTTTTCTTTTTTATATTAGATATATATTGAATTCAAAAAGATGTGTGTTGGTAAAAAGTTTAAAATTTGCATGCTTACAAAAGCAACTGCTGCCACACAAGCACAGGATCCTCATTTAAGACAAAAATTTGGTAAATAACTGTTTAAAAAAGTAAATATTATCATATACTGTATATATTTTTAATTTAATAATGACTTTTTTTTTCAAGATATTTTAATTAGTACTCCTCTTCGCCTTGTTCATGCTATCTCACAAGATAACATTGACCTGAAAAGGTATGTTACATCTTTTTCTTTTCTTTTTTTTTTTTTTGCAATATTAAGATATCCGCCTTTCATATTATTTATTTACAAACTTTCATAATAAGTGTTCATCATTTAGTCTTAGACGAAGCAGATAAGCTTCTAGAACTTGGATTCTTGGAACAAACCGATGAAATTTTCGCTGCGTGTTCTAATATTAAATTACAAAAGTACTTATTTAGCGCGACACTTCCTTCAGGTGTTGAGTCTTTAGCAAATAATTTTATGAAAGATCCCATCAGAATTGTTGTAGGTCTAAGGTATTTATCAAACTATTTTATTTAATATTTTTATTATAAGTTTTTTTTATCGCTCATCAAAAATTTTTTGTTATTATTAGAAATGCGGCAACAGAAACTATAAAACAACAACTTATTTATGTTGGTGAAGAAAATGGAAAATTGACAGCTATAAGACAAATGATTCAACAGGGTGGATTAAAACCACCTGTTCTTATTTTCGTTCAATCAATCGAACGTGCTAAAGAATTATTCCATGAATTAATTTATGATGGTATTAATGTTGATGTTATTCATGCAGAAAGAACAAAAGCTCAGGTAGATAAATCAAATAAAATTTTCTTAATTATGTAAATTTTTTTATAAATTTTTAATATTTTTTTTTTTTTTTCAAAAATAGAGAGATTCAATTGTTTTAAATTTTCGTCAAGGAAAAATATGGGTGCTAATAGCCACAGAGTTAATGGCACGTGGTATAGATATTAAAGGAGTAAACATGGTTATAAATTATGATTTCCCACAATCAATACAAAGTTATATTCACAGAATTGGTAGAACTGGTAGAGCTGGTAAATCAGGCGAAGCCATTACTTATTATACAAAAGATGATACTCCTTATTTAAAGAGGTAATATATAATCTTTTTTTTTTTTTGAAGAACTTAATATACTTTTATTTATTCTCATTTCTTTTAATAGCATTGTGAACGTAATGAAAGATTCAGGATGTAAAGTTCCTAATTGGATGCTTGATTTAAAAAATCCTTCAAAAGAATCAAAGCAACATTTGCGTAAAAGACCGATCAAACGTAAAACCATTGATACAAGATCTGACTACGATAAGAAAAAAATAAAACGCAAAAAGTACCTACGAGTTTCTATTATATATATATATGTATTAATGAATTTTTTATTAATTTTTATCAATTTTTAAAACAGAGAAATGGTTGAAGCTTCTAAAAGAAAGAAGAATAAAAAAAGTAAAACATCAACTGATAATAAAGAAAGTATTTAATTTTGGTAACCTGAGATAAAGACTTTTTAATGCATTCTTAAAATTATTTTTATGTTGATAAAATTTTATTAAATGCCATTAGAATTTTTTAATTTTACTTTTTTTAATCTTACTTTTTTTTATGTATATAAAAGAATTTTATGAACTAAAGAATCATCGTTTATAATAATTTCAACAATGTAAACAACTCTAGTGCATGTGTGAACTAATATAAAATCTACCTAAACATTTATAATCCATTGTCCATTCAAATTTTTGTGTTATCCTCCTTATCTGTTATCATTAACCAGCAAGATGTATTTCATTATTCCTAATACAAAAAAATCTCAAAGTTATTACAATCTGAATAACAAATATGTATAGAAAAAATTGGCTAAAACGTAACAAAAAAAAGTGTGAAAACGTTTTTCCATATATTTTCCCATACCATATTATAATTATTTTTACATTTGTTATTAATATGTAGGCGATGTAATTATGTTTGCAAATGACAAGCAACATTTTTTATGGCAACCTTAAGAGTTGTACTTCTATCCGGCGATAATTTAGTATTTGGTTCGGAATGTACCTTCAAATATCTGTAACAACATCACCGTGAAAAGCATCATCTTCATTTAATATAACATCAACGTCAAAATCAAGATCCCAATTGAATTCTTCATTCTGTACTACTTCAGTCTCTTTATTTTGTGTAACTTCATTATCAACTCCGTTTTCCTTATGATTGTTACCATCTTCCAATCGTTCTCCATTCTCTTTAATTTTATCGATCTGCAATGACTCATCATTATTATTGTCCTTTGTTGGAATAATTTTCTCAGTCATTTCATCAGGTACAGATACAAAAGTACGTTCAGAAATGTTTTGTGTGGTTTCACTTTTTCCAGTTGGATGTGAATATGCGCAATTAGGTCTCCGGCAATTATATCCAAATTTACACTAAATAAAAAAATAAATACCATCAATATGTTATTTATATAAATTAAATACGGTATTTAAAATTATTATTTACCGGAATGTTTGCACTTGCTGTTTCCATATCCCATGGATGCATAAAATGACAATTAGGTCGTGTACAATGAGTTCCATTACGGCAGGGTGTTGGTACTTTAACAGTGTTATCACTATGAAAATTTTATGCGTTAATTATATAATACATTGTTGATTTTTTACAATAATTTACATACCTATTACCAACATGCAAATATGGACACATAGGATTTTGGCAATTAGGGTAAAATTTGCAAGGTTCTTGAGCAATCACTATATTATAAAAAATAAATTATATAAATAGTTCTTTTTTTAAAAAAAAAAAAAAAATTCAAATACTACATACAATTGGCAGGGGATGGATGTGAATAATGGCACTTTGGATTCACGCATTTAGCTCCGAATTTGCAAGGAACATCCAATAGAGATGTTGGTATTGTCCCAGTCCCAACAGCCGCAGGACTAGAATGTGCATACATGCAATTAGGATTTGCACAATGTTCACCATACTTGCATAAAACTGCAATAGCTTGAGAACTTGTAATATCCATATCTTGAGATGAAGGTATCCCTGTAGGAATATTATTAGTAGTGGTTGAAGTACTCGTATTAACCGTTGCTGTGATAGAAGTTGTTGAATTTACAGATCCTGCATCAGATTTCAGTTTCTGCCCTGCATCACGCTGACCTTGAATATTCAAAGCTTGTACAGATGCAACATTATGAGACGTACTTTGTTTGAGAGAATTTTGTCCATATAAACCGGTTACAAATGAACCATTGTTTTGACCGTTTGAATTATTACCGAATACACCTTGCCCCATTCCGTTAAATCCCCCCGCGCTCTGTCCAACTATGAAATTATTCATTGGGTCTTGCCCAATTGGACCGAACCCGAATGAACTTGAATCAATCGATCGACTTCCAAAGGCTGCCTGCCCATTTGTACCATTGACAAATGAATTTTGTCTATACAAACCACGTTGTTCATATGTGTTAAAATCTTGACTTGCGGGATGAATGTATAAGCAAGTTCGTGGTGAATTTGGGCAATTAGGAACCATACTGATAAAAGATATAAAAGGTATCGTTTTAAATACTGATAAAATAATTTAATAAAAAAATTATTCAAATTTCTTATCAAAACTTACGGACAAATTTCTGTTGGATGATGAAATTTACATTGGGCTCCAAGATCACAATTAGGCCAATGACGGCAGCGAGAAACTTTAGACGTTAATGTAATATTACTATTTGATTGTGCAGGTATAGAGCTGGCATTGGAATTTTGAATAAAAGCAGGATTGATGTAAGCAGTCATTAAACCCCCTTTTTTTCCTAACCGATCTAAAACGCTCCTCGGTTGTTGAATCTGTTGTGAAGAGCGTCGTTCACTAACTATTAATCATAAAAGATCAATCACTAATGTTCAGCAATTAAAAAATATACAAATTAAAAAACAATTAAATAATTTCTTACTATATCTACTGTGCTCGTGTTCTTGTAAAACATTAAATAGCCCTTGATCACCTGACTGTCGTTCAGTTTTTATACGAGAAGTTTTATCATGAGAATAATCTGACTCGTACACACGATGTTTGTCTATACGTGATTCACTCTCAACTTTTCGAGCTTTGGTCTTTAGATCGTCTTTAGATTGATCCATTCCTGGGCTGTAAGCACGCTTAGTTATTCTATCTGTACCATTTTCTTCTAAACATTTACGAGAATTAAAGGTAATTACGTTAGACCAATTACACATTTCTCTTTATTGACGTAGGCAAATAGATTGTTGATATTAATTATTTAACAAACCATGTTTTTCTCCTGCCCCTCTAGAACCTCTACTTGCATCCTTTACCGCGTTCATGAATAAACGTGAAGAGGCGGATGCGTTGCCACTACCCGTTCTCCTGTAAAATGTAAAATTTTGAAAAAAAAAAAACCAGTAAATATATGAATAGATCGTGATACTACGGTAGAATAGAACACTAAGAAATGTACCTTTGTGAAGACCGCCCATTAGTACTTTCAATAACCGATCGTACGTTTTGTGGCTCAATTTCACTAGAATACATTCTTAAGTTGGAGTGATTTATCGAAATAAAAGCTGGTTAAAAGTCCCTTCGTAAAGAAGAAAATTATGTAACAACGCACAAATTTTGTTATATATCAATTATCAATGCTAGATCAGATGATAATGGAAAACTATCATAAAAAAAAAAAAATGCAATGTGGCGGATACATATTGACCAATCAAATTTAAGATCACGTTTACGCGACGATTTTGGTTTATAACCGGCTAGGTAAATTTTATAGATCTTTGAAAAAAAATTTCATATCAAATATATATAGTGCAGGATACCTAAAGAAAAAATTATGAAATTTGTTTTATTCATGTTGAAATTTGATATCTTTGTGAATTCTTGTATTTTGATTAGCTGAAAATTAAATTTTTTTTTTTTTTTTTATAACTTAGGCGATCTTGTCCTTTATTTTATTAAGAGAATTATTTCACGAGTAATAAGACAAATACAAAAAATTAAAAAGAAACTATTCTAATCTTAAGACTGCTTTCTCATTACAATTCCAGACTCACTCAGCTGTTTTTATAGTGTTCAAATATAATTTGTTGTAGCAGTAATTTTTTTCCTAAGACAAGTTGTACATTAGTATATATTACTTCTGTTTTGATCAAAAGAAGGCTATTCTTAGTTTATATCAAGAAAGCCTAGTTATTTGTTTTTAAACTTTAACCAATTATCATATTTACCTTTCCTAATCTAATTTGTAACCTTGTTTTTCACTTTTTCTAAAATCTTGATTTTTTTATTTGTTTGTATTTTTTTTTTTTTTTTTTTTAACTTAAACAATCTTGCTCATCATTTTATTAAGAATAAGCTAATCTAAGCTACAAGTAAAATGCTATGCTATTTACAGCAAACTACCTTCCTAAAACTAATCAGGACTCATTCAGTTACTTTTTAGCACCTAAGTGCGATCTGTCACAGCAACTATTTCTCTCGTAAGAGTTTAAATTTGTATATACAAATTTCTAGCTCTTAGTCAACGAGAAGCTGCTACCAGCCTGTATCAAAATCACCTAATTTGTTTTGAACCTTAATCATCCTTCCTTACCATCTCATCTATCAACTCTGTCAGAAGCTTCTTTTTGAATTCTTGTTTCTTTCTCCTTCTTAGATTCCTTCGTTTCATTTAAAGGAGGTATGTTTTCTTTGTTTATCTTTCCTTTTTTCTTTGTCTTTTTCTTTCTTTTTTTTTTGGTTGTGATGTTGTTTTCTTTTTCCCATTCAATCATCATTTCACATCTGAACTTCCATAGTCGTTCGTAGAAACAAGACCAGAATTATTCGATAAAACTCATTAATACTTTGTTTGCCTTGCTTTTGGACTACGCTATTTTGCATATATCTACATATTGCTTCTTATTTGTGAGGCCTCTGAGATGCATCTTTCTGAGATGCATCTTCTCCTCTGGGTCTTCACCATATAGTGCCTTCCTTAACGCATTATCCTCAAGTGATAAATCCAACTTTGTTAACTCCTCGAGACTTGTTAGGTATAGAGTTTCCTCTTCTAGGTTCTTCCATATTTTTTAGTAGATTTCGTATTCTGCTAGATGATACAAGGTTTTGTCTTTCCTTAAACAAGCTATATATCTTCTGCTCTTGTATAGTTTGGGGTTTCTCAAGTAGCAGATATCTTTTGTTGGTAGAATGTCGTTAATGCATTTTATGCAAAACATTAGATCTCTACTTTTTTTTAAACTAATGCACTTTTTCCCTTGCTGTTTTTTTAGTGCTTCCCAAGTGTTTTTCCAAATTGGCTCTTTGCTAGGGTTGTCTCCTTAATTCAGGACTATAATATCTGCTGCTTTGCTTAGTTCGGCCCATTCTGTTTCATATGTTATCGTGGTTGTTATGTTTATAAATGATCTAAGTGAGCAGTCTATTAATTGGTTCTTCTATTTTGGGATAGCTCAGATGTTACCTAGTATTGTCTCTGGTACTTTGAGTATATCTGTCCTCTTGATACCTTCTTTAGCTAGGTAATCTGCTTGCTCATTCCATTTGTCACCACTATAACTTTTGACTTTATGTAATGACAAATTTAAACTTTTTGCTACGTAGCAGTCTTTTATCTGTCTCAGTAAACTTCTGTTTTTTATTTTGAACCAACTTCTTAGCTTGTTGTCACCTATACACTTTTCAATAGCTTCTATTGCTGCTTTGCTATCAGTAAATATATGTATTTGAGCTTCACATGGTACTGAAAGCAAAGCTGCCCATATAGCTTCTAATTCTGCACGAGTTGATGAAGACCAGTTTTCTATACTACAACTAAATCTAATACTACTATCTATCTCCTCCTTACTTCTGACTAACCACCCAGCTCTCATTCTACCTGATCTCCCCTCTCTGCTATTTCTTGCTAACACGCTATCTGTATAATACCTGATAACCTCCTCCTCTTTTAGTTTCTCATATGCATCTACTAGCTCTCTCTCTATCCTTTTGTTTTCTACTACTCTTTGTATAATTGTATTTTCGAGGCTTTTTGCTGTGATTTTTACTGATACCTCTTGGTTTGTCT